TGACAGTGTATCATTTTGATCGATTTCCGAGGGCTCTTTTCTCGAACGGTCGGTGCGATACCTGTTCTTCGTTCTTTTCTATCATTTTGTTTTCTTTTTCCGAGTGGTTTGTACCGTATTTTTGTTTTGTTTTTCTCGCGGCGTCGTATGTGCCGGGTTTTGAGACCACGGACTCCCCATTTTTTGTGGACTATAGAGCTAATGTGAGAAACAACAACAACAAAACAACAACAACAATGTACTTGAAGTAATTTATGGGACTGTCAAGGAGGCTGGACTGACTGGCTGCATTCGTACAACGGCAATGTTGTCTACGTGGTGGTGCGGCCGAGNTGTATCATTTTGATCGATTTCCGAGGGCTCTTTTCTCGAACGGTCGGTGCGATACCTGTTCTTCGTTCTTTTCTATCATTTTGTTTTCTTTTTCCGAGTGGTTTGTACCGTATTTTTGTTTTGTTTTTCTCGCGGCGTCGTATGTGCCGGGTTTTGAGACCACGGACTCCCCATTTTTTGTGGACTATAGAGCTAATGTGAGAAACAACAACAACAAAACAACAACAACAATGTACTTGAAGTAATTTATGGGACTGTCAAGGAGGCTGGACTGACTGGCTGCATTCGTACAACGGCAATGTTGTCTACGTGGTGGTGCGGCCGAGATAGCTTTCGTTTTTTTTTCGAAAGGCTCACCTGCAGCAGACGAGCCAGACGTCTGACACAGAGAGAAACGAGGATAGTGAACCAAACCAGTTTTCGTCACTGCGGTGCGGCGCAAGTGCGCTGACTTCGGCGCCAAGTCGGCGACCCAGGCGGCGTGCGTACTCCAGCACTGGCGACAGAGACTCGTGCTCCAGCGACGAAAACGCCTCCAGAACTCATACTACAGAACCTTTTTTTTGAAAGCGAGAACCAGCACAACAGCAAAACAGCCAAACAGCACAACAGCAGCACAGAGACGTGGGACGCTTCCTCTGACCGCCGTTGCTGCGTACCCAACGGAGCCGACAAACCTCCGCATGAGCGAAAGCATGGAGTCTTATACTGCTGCTGCCGTTACGAACGAGTCACATCATGTTGATGTGGGTGAGGACGTGGAGGGCGGGCTGGGCGGGCTGGGAGAAGTTGGCCCAGAAGTTGGTTCACCGTCACCTCTTTGTGGGTCTGGGTCTGGAGGAGGTGAAGTTGGCGCCGCTAGCTCGCCCGCGCCCGCGTCTGCTGCAGATGGGCCAGCTGCAAGTCCAAGGGGTGCGATCCTGCCGACGTCTCCAGGTACTTACAGGCGTGCCATCACTGCGTTCATCGACGTACATTTCCAACTTCCCATCTGTATCGGCACCAATACCGCCAGCGAAACAAGTCAAAGTCAAAGTTGTTGTTTGTTTGTTGTTTGTTCGTTGTTGTTGTTGTTGCTCTTGCTCACAAGATCGCTTATTTGTCCAAGTACTTTGGCCCCTCTAAACCAAGCTTCGTTGAAGCACACAACATTATCAACCTTGCTCATGCTTCTACTTGCATTTGTTTGTCGTGTCCAGAGGACCTGGCGACCCTTCAAGGGGAGGTAGAAAACCTCCTTTTCCCCAACCTCGAACAGGGGAGCCAACAACAGTTTGGGGAGGCAACAATCGAGAACGCCGTGGGGATGCTGAAGGCGAAGATTGGGCGCGGCTACCCGCTTCAAAGACACAACAAAACAAAGGTGAGGTTTGGACCCTCATGTTTGCTAAGGTTACCCTTCACTGGCGTGAAGAGTGGACTTGCTGCGTTGTTGATACTGTCGGCTGCACGTGGACTCGTCT